TAACTGATAGCTAGAATTGAGGCCTCTGACATAAGACACAACTTGAGTCATATCAGCCAACCCCAGCTTTACAATACATCTCAGATGAAGTCTCAATCATTCTCAAAGTGAAAACCAGACATCCTTACTATGCCCTACCACAATTTGCCGCCCTTAATTTTGAGCATAATAAAATGGTGGTTGTTTAACATCAGAAAGTTTTGGGGGTAGTTTGCTATGTAGCAATAGATTATCATAAAAGTTACATATTATTTTAATGGTGTGACTTATAGTTTACAATATGTATCCTTGGCTAATTTCTACCTACATTAAGTTAGTAATTTTACCCTTTCCAGAACAGTGCAAGAATATTAAAACAGGGTAGCTCCCTTTATCATCTTCCCCTTCTGTGATTTTTGTTGTCAATTATCTTCACTTACGTTTTTCTTTTAAGTATGAGAAGACATTCTTTTTATTGCTTTAAACAATTAGTATTCACTTTTTATTGTGGTAAATATACATAAGATAAAATTTACCATAACAACCATTTTTCGGTGTACAATTTAGTGACATTAATTACATTTACAATGTTACATAGCCATTACCACCATTTGTTTCTAGAACTTTTACATCACCTCAAACAGAACCTCCTGTAGCTACTGAACAATAACTCTCCATCATCCCTGCCCACTAGGCCATGGTAACCTTTATTTTACTTTCTGTATCTATGAATTTGTCTATTCTAGGTAGTTTGTATATTTGTCCTTTTGTCTCTGTCTGTTTCATTTAGTATAATGTTTTCAAGTTATTGATATTTCTCCTGGCAGTCCTGATTCCAGCTTGTGGTTTATCTAGCCCGGCATTTCGCATGATGCAGAGTACATCAAAGAGTATTTATCTTTTAATGATTTTTATTCTTCCTGCTGGAATTTGCTCAAACTCATGTCCATCCAGTTGGTGATGCCATCCAATCATCTGTCATCCCCTTCCCCTCCTGCATTCAATCTTTCCCAGCATCAGGGTCTTTTCCAATGAGTCAGTCTTCACATCAGATGGCCAAAGTATTGGAACTTCAGCTTCAGCATCAGTCCTTCCAATGAATATTCAGAATTGATTTGCTTTTAGTCCAAAGGACTCTCAGAAGTCTTCTCCAACACCACAGTTCAAAAGCATCAATTCTTCAGCACTCAGCTTTCTTTACAGTCCAACTCTCATATCCATTCAAGACTACTGTAAAAAACATAGATTTGATTAGATGGACCTTTGTCAGCAAAGTAATATCTCTGCTTTTTAATATGCTGTCTAGGTTGGTCATACTTTTTCTTTCAAGAAGCAAGCAACTTTTAATTTCATGACTGCAGTCACCATCTGCAGTGATTTTGGAGCCAAGAAAAATAAAGTCAGCCACTGTTTCCACTGTTTCTCCATCTATTTGCCATGAAGTGATGGGACCAGATTCCATGATCTTAGTTTTTTGAAAGTTGAGTTTAGAGCCAACTTTTTTACTCTCCCCTTTCAGTTTCATCAAGAGGCTCTTTAGTTCTTCTTTGCTTTCTGCCATAAGGGTGATGTCATCTGCATATCTGAGGTTATTGATATTTTTCCCATCAATCTTGATTCCAGCTTGTGCTTCATCCAGACTGGCATTTCACATGATTTACTCTGCATATAAGTTAAATAACTAGGGTGAGTAGCCTTGACATACTCCTTTCACAATTTGGAACAAGTCTGTTGTTCCATGCCCAGTTCTAACTGTTGTTTCTTGACCCGCATACACATTTTTCAGGCGGCAGGTTAGGTGGTCTGGTATTCCCATCTGTTAAAGAATTTTCCACAGTTTGTTGTGATCCATACAGTCAAAGTATTTGGCATAGTCAATAAAGCAGAAATAGATGTTTTTCTGGAACTCTCTTGCTTTTTCTGTGATCCAGTGGATGTTGAAAATTTGATTGCTGGTTCCTGTGCCTTTTCTAAATCTAGCTTGAACATCTGGAAGTTCTCAATTCATGTACTGTTGAAGCCTAGCTTGGAGAATTTTGAGCATTATTTTGTTAGTGTGTGAGATGAGTACAATTGTGCAGTAGTTTGAACACTCTTTGGCATTGCCTTTCTTTGGGACTGAAATGAAAACTGATTTTTCCAGTTCTGTGACCATGGATGAGTTTTCCAAATTTGCTGGTGTATTGAGTGCAGCACTTTCACAGCATCATCTTTTAGGATTTGAAATAGCTCAGCTGGAATTCCATCACCTCCACTAGCTTTGTTCATTGTGATGCTTCCTAAGGCCCGCTTGACTTCACATTCGAGGATGTCTGGCTCTAGGTGAGTGATCACACCATCATGGCTATCTGGGTCATTAAGATCTTTTTTGTATAGTTCTTCTGTGTATTCTTGTCACCTCTTCTTGATATCTTCTGCTTCTGTTAGGTCCATACCATTTCTGTCCTTATTGTGCCCTTCTTTGCATGAAATATTCCCTTGTTATCTCTAGTTTTCATAAAAAGATCTCTAGTCTTTCCCATTCTATTGTTTTCCTCTATTTCTTTGCTCTGATTATTTAGGAAGGCTTTCTTATCTCTCCTTGCTGTTCTTTGAAACTCTGCATTCAGATGGGTATATCTTCCTTTTCTACTTTGCCTTTTGCTTCTCTTCTTTTCTTAGCTATTTGTAAGGCCTCCTGAGACAACCATTTTGCCTTTTTGCCTTTCTTTTTCTTGGTGATGGTTTAGAATACTGCCTCCCATACAGTGTCACAAACCTCTGCCCATAGTTCCTCAGGCATTCTGTCTATCAGATCTAATCCCTTGAATCTCTTTGTCACTTCCACTGTGTTATAGTAAGGGATTTGATTTAAGTCATACCTGAATAGTCCAGTGGCTTTCCCTGCTTTCTTCTATTTAAATCTGAATTTTGCATCAGGAGTTCATGATCTGTGCCCCAGTCAGCTACTGGTCTTGTTTTTGCTGACTATATAGAGCTATCCAGGAGTATAAAGTATCAATTCCAGTCAGAATCAAGTGTTGTCCCTTCTGTAATGAAAGTGTTCCGACTAACTGATATCCCACAAGAAACCTGGTTAATTTCCTCAAGGAATGAGACTATATCAGGGGATCAGTGTTGCCCTCTACTTTGACAAAGTGGACACTCAGCAGTAGTAGTAGCCAGATATAGTGAGTTAAAATTCATGTTGCTGATCCCACAAATAACCTCCATTCCTGTTGCCATGGCCATTTTGTTCATGAGCCTATTGAACAAGGAGAACAGTGGCTAGGGAAAAAAGACTGACTGAATGGGTCAACTTGCCCACTTGATTATTAATATTCTTCTCTGCTGAAATTGCTTTTTGGTGAGAATTGATATGGGATATGAATATCTTCACAGTTGGTGCTCAAGTGTGAGAGGTCTGGAGGGGTTTGATCTCATCCCCAACAATTTTCTAACCAAAAAACAAGTTTCTTTCCAAATCCCTGACCATCCTGCCAAACCATCAGTTATTCTCCATCTGTAGATCTGTATTACTGGCCATCTTTCCTTCCAGGCATAGTATACAATGGGTATGATGCTTGAAGTTCTGTCCCCTATAAGTATTTCTCTTCTGAGCCACTCTTGGATGAGGTTCCATATACATATGGAACTTCCTATGGGTCACACTTTGGACTGGACCTCCTGAGACCTGCTAGGTCCTGAATTTACCAATAGAATCTAACTAAGTGATGTTGTGTGACTTCCACGACAGGGCCTTGCAATTTCTCTCTCTCTGTCTTTATCTCTCATACTTGAAACCTACACACTGCAAAGAAACTCTAAACTGAAAGTGTATGTGGAGAGAGAAGCCAAGTCACCACAGATGTTCCAACAATCCAAGCTGAAGACCCAGATATGTGGGTGAGACCATATTAAATCACCCAACTCCATCTGATCTGGCAAATGACTAGTAGGCCCAAGTACATGATTCCACACAAAAATAGAAGTTCTCTTTCAACCCACAGAAAGTGGTTTTTGCTTTAAGTCACTGAATTTGAGAGTGGTTTGATACAGTAATATACAAATTTAGAAAATACTGTTCAGATTTCAAGCCATCATAAATTCTTCTTGATACTCAATTTGGGGTTTAACTTAAGAATATTACATCTTCCTTTCAGAAGAATATTATTTGTGTTGATATGGGCTGCACCATCTCCCACAGGCAATTGTAGTGGGACTTCAAATTGTGATATTGGTGTTAAGGATTACTTCAACTTGGCTTTATTTGATTTGATTTAATATAAGCAAAGGAGAGGATGGGGAAGATTTTAAGAGTTATTTAGGGTTTGGGGAGGAATAAGGTATGAGGGAAAGTTACCAAAGACAGCTTTTCAAGATACAAGAATTGCTTAGAGTAGTTTGACTAAATTGCACTAACATGAGAAGTAGATAAGGTTTGTAAATCAGTGGAATTACTACAGGAATAAGGAGGCTTTTGTCATGATAATAATAGGTAATATTTGCTGAATGCTCTTCTGTGCCAGAAGCTGTTCTAAATGCTTTACAAACGTTGACTCATTTATTCCTAAATGTAGCTGTATGAAATAGAACTGTCATTCCCATACTTTAGATAAGAAACTGAGCCCGGAGGTTACGCAGCTTGTTCAGGATCAAGTACTTACACAGTGAGTAAGTGCTAACACTTGAGCCCAGACAATATCATACCATGCTTAGTGTACTTAACCACTAGGCTGTGTTTTGTCTTTCTCCTACATTACTCTGGACTATACAAAAGTGATACAACCAAAGTTTTGGACATTTTATTTACACTTCCTGGTAATAGAATTACCAATTTAAGGGTAAACCCCTGTGAGAATAATACCAGTGTTACCTGGCTTGTGAAATCAAACTGTGATTGGATAATATTTCTAAAATCTATTTCACAACAGTAAAATTTATCTCATGATTTTCACTCATTTTGCCCTAATTAGGCAAAAAGCTATTAGAGGTAGAAAACCCAGTTTCAACAGTAAAATCCTATGTGTTTGAACCTTTAGAATGTCGCTTTATTCCAACACTTTAAACGTCTGATTAACATAAGAAGACAAGGGGAGCCACGTCAGATAGTGAGATATATTAATCCTAAAGAGGTAAGGACATTATATTTTTTTCATGATGTGTAAATGCCTTTATTTTTTATTCTTTTCAAGCGAAGTATAATTGCTTTACAATGTTGTATTAGTTTCTGTTGCACAATGAAGTGAATAAGCTATATGTATACATATAACCACTCTATCTTAGACCTTCCTCCCACCCCACCCATCTAGGTCATCACAGATCACTGAGCTGAGCTCCTTGTGATGTACAGAAGGTTCCCACTAACTATCAGTTTCACACAAGATAGTGTATATACATCAATCCTAATCTCTTAATTCATCCCACCCTCCCATTCCCCCTGTGTCCACATATCTGTTCTCTACATCTGCATCTCTACCCTTGCCCTGGAACTGGGTTAATCTGTACAACATTTCTAGATTCCACATATATGCGTTAATATCTTTGTTTTACTCTTTCTGATTTACTTCACTCTGTAAGATAGACTCTAGTTCATTCACATCTCTACAAATGACTCAATTCTGTTTCTTTTTATGGCTGAGTACCATTCCATTGTTTATATGCAGCATATCTTCTTTATCTATTCATCTGTCATTGGACATTTAGGTTTCCATGTCCTGGCTATTGTAAATAGTGCTACTGTGAACATTGGAGTACATGTGTCATTTTGAATTATAGCTTTCTCAGGGTATATGCCCTGTAGTGGGATTGTTGGGTCATATGCTTGTTCTTTTTTAGCTCTTTAAGGTGGAGCTTTTTAAGTTTCCATACTGTTCTCCACAGTGTCTATATCAATTTACATTCCCATCAACAGTGCAAGAGGGCTCCCTTTTCTCCACATCCTCTCTAGCATTTATTGCTTGTAGATTTTTTTGATGATGGCCATTCTGACCAGTATAAGATGATGCTTCTGTTGTACTTTTGATTTGCATTTCTCTAATAATTAGCACTTTATGGGAAATAGATGGGGAAACAGTGGAAACAGTGTCAGACTTTATTTTTGGGGCTCCAAAATCACTGCAGATGGTGCTTGCAGCCATGAAATTAAAAGACGCTTACTCCTTGGAAGGAAAGTTATGACCTAGATAGCATAATAAAAAGCAGAGACATTACTTTGCCAACAAAGGTTTGTCTAGTCAAGGCTATGATTTTTCCAGTGGTCATGTATGGATGTGAGAACTGGACTGAAGAAAGCTGAGTGCTGAAGAATTGATGTTTTTGAACTATGGTGTTGGAGAAGACTCTTGAGAGTCCCTTTGACTGCAAGGAGATCCAACCAGTCCATCCTAAAGGAGATCAGTCCTGGGTGTTCATTGGAAGGACTGATGTTGAAGCTGAAACTCCAGTACTTTGGCCACCTCATGCGAAGAGTTGACTCATTTGAAAAGACCCTGATGTTGGGAGGGATTGGGGGCAGGAAGAGAAGGGGACGACAGAGGATGAGATGGCTGGATGGCATCACCGACTCGATGGACACGAGTTTGAGTAAACTCCGGGAGTTGGTAATGGACAGGGAGGCCTGGCGTGCTGCGGTTCATGGGGTCGCAAAGAGTTGGACATGACTGAGCGACTGAACTGAACTGAACTGAATAATTAGCAATGTTGAGCATCTTTTTATGTGCCTCTTGTCATCAGTTTCTCATGTTTGGAGAGATGTCTGTTTAGGTTTTCCACCCATTTTTTTGACTGGGTTTTTTGTTTGTTTTTTTTATATATTGGGTTCCACGAGCTGTTTGTATATTTTGGATATTAATCCTTCATTCATTGCTTTGTTTGCAAATATTTTCTCATATTCTGAGGACTGTCTTTTCATCTCATTTATGGTTTTCTTTGTGTGAAAAAGCTTTTAAGTCCCATTAAAAAATTTTTTTTCCTAACTCAAGGAGCTGGGTCAAAAAAATCCTGCTTTTGCACTGTTGCGGGGAATGTAATACTTTGGCCACCTGATGTGAAGAACTGACTCATTGGAAAAGACCCTGTTGCTGGGAAGGATTGAAGGCAGGAGGAGAATGGGACAACAGAGTATGAGATGGTTGGATGGCATCACCAACTCGATGGACATGAATTTGAGCAGGCTCTGGAAGTTGGTGATGGATAGGAAAGCCTGGTGTGCTGCAGTCCATGGGGTCGCAAAGAGGTGGACACGACTGAGCGACTGAACTGAACTGAAATTGATACAGCCACTATGGAGAACAGTGTCAGTTCAGTCACACAGTCATGTCTGACTTTGCGACCCCATGAACCGCAGCACGCCAGGCCTTCCTGTCCATCACCAACTCCCAGAGTCTACCCAAACTCATGTCCATTGAGTCGGTGATGCCATCCAACCATCTCATCCTCTGTCGTCCCCTTCTCCTCCTGCCCTCAATCTTTCCCAGCATCAGGGTCTTTTCAAATGAGTCAGCTCTTCGCATCAGGAGGCCAAAGTATTAAGAGTTTCAGGAGAACAGTATGGAAATTCCTTAAAAAACTAGGAGTAAAACTACCATGGGTGTTTGAGTGCTCAGTCACTTCAGTCTTGTCTAACTCTTTGTGACCCTATGGACTGTAGCCCTCTGGCCTCCTCCGTTCAGGGATTCTCCAGGCAAGAACACTGGAGTGGTTTGCCATTTCCCCTTCCAGGGGGTCTTTCTGACCAGGGCTCGAACCCACATCTCTTATGACTCCCGCATTGGCAGGCAGGTTGTTCCTGGGAAGCCCTTAGAAGTATCATATGACCCAACAATCCCACTACTGGGATTATACCCTGAGAAAACCATAACTGAAAATGGTGCATGTACCTCAATATTCACTGCAGCACTATTACAATAGCTAGAACAGGGAAGCAGCCTGGATGTCCATGGACAGATAAATAGATAAAGAAGCTGTGGTGTATACATACAATGGAATATTCAGTTCAGTTCAGTTCAGTCACTCAGTCGTGTCCGACTCTTTGCAACCCCATGAACCGCAGCACGCCAGGCCTCCCTGTCCATCACCAACTCCCGGAGTTTACTCAAACTCATGTCCATCGAGTCGGTGATGCCATACAGCCATCTCATCCTCTGTCGTCCCCTTCTCCTCCTGCCCCCAATCCCTCCCAGCATCAGGGTCTTTTCAAATGAGTCAACTCTTCACATGAGGTGGCCAAAGTATTGGAGTTTCAGCTTCAGCATCAGTCCTTCCAATGAACACCCAGGACTGATCTCCTTTAGGATGGACTGGTTGGATCTCCTTGCAGTCCAAGAGACTCTCAAGAATCTTCTTCAACACCACAGTTCAAAGGCATCAATTCTTCGGTGCTCAGCTTTCTTCACAGTCCAGTTCTCACATCCATACATGACTACTGGAAAAACCATAGCCTTGACTAGATGGACCTTTGTTGGCAAAGTAATGTCTCTGCTTTTTAATATGCTATCTAGGTTGATCATAACGTTCCTTCCAAGGAGTAACCGTCTTTTAATTTCATGGCTGCAAGCACCATCTGCAGTGATTTTGGAGCCCCCAAAAATAAAGTCTGACACTGTTTCCACTGTTTCCCCATCTATTTCCCATGAAGTGATGGGACCAGATGCCATAAAAAGGAATGCATTGGGTAAGTTCTAATGAGGTGTATGAACCTAGAGCCTATTATACAGAGTGATGCAAGTCAGAAAGAGAAAAACAAGTATAGTATACTGACACATATATATGGAATTTAGAAAGATGGTACTGATGAACCTATTTGTAGGGCAGCAATGGTGACACAGACATTGAGAACAGAATTGTGGACACAGGAGAGGAAAGGAGAGGGTGGGACAAATGGAGAAAGTAACATGGAGACATATCCACTGCCATATGTAAAACAGATAGCCAGTGGGAATTTTCTGTATAACACAGGGACTCAAACCAGGCCTCTGAAAACCTAGAGGGGTGGGTCGGATAGGGTGGGAGGTGGGAGGGAGGTTCAAGAGGGAGGGAACATAGGTATATCTATGGCTGATTCATGTTGATATATGGCAGAAATCAGCAAAATATTGTAATGTAATAATCACTATCCTTCAATTAAAAATAAATAAATTGATAGTTTAAATATATATATATATATAAAGATCTTGCTGTGGCTTATGTCACAGAGTGGTTTTCCTATTTTCCTCTAAGAGTTTTATAGTATCTAGTCTTACATTTTGGAGAAGGCAGTGGCACCCCACTCCAGTTCTCTTGCCTGGAAAATCCCATGGACGGAGGAGCCTGGTAGGCTGCAGTCCATGGGGTTGCAAAGAGTCGGACACGACTGAGGGATTTCACTTTCACTAGTCTAAATTTAGGTCTTTAATCCATTTTAAGTTTATTTTTGTGTGTGGTGTTAGGTAGTGTTCTACTTTCATCCTTTAATATGTTGCTGTCCAGTTTTTCTAGCACCATGTATTGAAGAACCATTGTATATCGTTGCTTCCTTTGATGTAGATTACATGGCCATATGTGTGCAGGTTTATCTCTGGGCTTTCTATTTTGGGCCTCTGATCTATATTTCTGTTTTTGTGCCTATACCATACACTCTTGATTACTGTAGCTTTATAATATAGTCTGAAGTCAGGCAGCCTGATTCTTCAAGTTCCATATTTCTTTCTCAAGATTGATTTGACTTTCAGGATCTTTTGTGTTTCTATACAAAATGTAAAGATTTTTCTTCCAACTCTGTGAAGAATGCCACTGGTAATTTGATTGGGAATGCATTGAATCTGTAGCTTGCTTTGGGTAGTATAGTCATTTTCACAGTATTGATTTTACCAAACCAAGAACCTAGTATGTCTCTTCATCTGTTTGTGCATCTTTGATTTCTTTCATTTGTGTTTTATAGTTTTCTGAGCACAGATCTTTTGCCTCTTTCAGTAGGTATCAGTTCATTTCAGTTCAGTCACTCAGTCATGTCCACTTCTTTGTGACCCCATGGACTGCAGCATGCCCGGCTTCCCTGTCCATCACCAACTCCCAAAGCCTGCTCAAACTTATGTCCATCAAGTCAGTGATACCATCCAACCATCTCATCCTCTGTTGGCCTCTTCTCCTCCTGCCT